ATCTTTGGCCTTGAGTTATCCCACTATGCACGTTCTGAAATTTAAGTTTAACGAATCTTCATCTGAATCTCTGAATATTTATTCATATCAAATGGCAGGCGTTTTGATAGCTATCATTTGCCCTTTAGCCGACTTCGGGCTTCACAGAGAGGAGGAGGTACATCAAAGTGACAAAAAGTGGAGAGGGGGAACAGAAGAGTGATTCACAGATGTAAAAGAGACAGACACAAAGGTAGAGAAAAAGGTGAGGTGAATACTGTGGAAGGGGTCGAATATGACATCAGTGGGGTGATGGTAGTTTGAAGTGAGAAGTCAACTACCGGTTAATAGGCTTTTTTGCCGTATGAGTATACGTTGCCCAGGGTGCACCACGTAAAGGCAAATCTCTCGCTAAATCAACATCGGGACGCGACATCCAAACCTTTTTGACTTGTAGCCGATCCTCTTATTTCATTATGTTTTACTTTTCGACTTAAGATTTGGGAAGTTGAATGTTGCTGATTGCCGTTTGACTGGTTAAATGCTGTTAACATGACAGAGCTGAGACGACCCTGAGGGCCTTTTATTGTTGTCATCCAAATATGTGCCTAAAAAATGGTCTCTTATCTATATGGCTTTGGATACATTTAGGCTATAGGATATAAACAACTTTTTTTTAGCAATTCCTTTATTAATAATTAGAATTTATGACGAGTGCTGATTTAAACATCGAATTCCTTTCCCACATTTTATTTACCTAGTTTGTGCAATTGTGCTTGTAATCTCTCTTTATTTCAATTTAGAGTATGCGGATATTGACATTTGGTTAGAGGTGTCTGAATCACCCCCCTCTGATTCTATCTTCCATCCACTCGCCTCTGGAAAGTTCCTAATCTACGACTGTGGAAAGTTCACCACTTGCAAGTCGTGCTTAAGTCCTCAATTCAATTGTGTTTGGCAACTCATAGAGGGTCGCTGTCTTTCTCTTGCCAGTAGCTCAACGTCATCTGCACTCTCTCCCTTTGCCAACTCCAACAGTTTAACTTTCTGTGCCAAATCGGTGAGTTACTTACAATTACATCATTCAATCAATCAATCAATCGGGACTTGTTACCTGTTTTCCAAAGCATTATCATGAGTTTTCGCTCCTTTAATTTGCTCTGCGAAAAATATTTGCGTAAAATACCAGGAGACAGTGGGTGTTTTTTTAGGCTGGGGCTAAGGTAGAATGGATTTTCGATTAAAACTTGAGCTAAACTGCTTGAACCATTCGTCGAGTCTATTTTGTAACGCCTTGTCTACTATCATTTATCATGAAGTAATTGATGACGCAATAGTGACTGTTCAGAACACTGATAGACTTACAATGCCAGACTCGTACAGCTAATGGCAGATGCCCTTTATGTCTCGACAATATAAGGCTTCCTTGAGGAACCTCTTTACATTTTAACAGAAATCCTAGGCTTAACCGCAGGACAAGTCGTAATAAGCACCGTGATATTTATATAATCCTAAAAAGAGCTGGCTTAGTTGGCCTAAAATTTGAAATAGAGTGCGATTTGAGTGATTAATTCTAATAGGAACTATCAACCAACCAGAATTAAAGAAAGGCGGGCATAGTCTGCCTCTGGGTGAGATGAGAAGACACTGGCGAATAGACGGCTATCAAAGCGTAGAAAATCCACAGGCATATGCGAAGAAAGAGTGGTTGCGAATTTTAAAATTGCGTTATGAATAGGAAAAACAAGTAGATCGGCAGATTGGCTGACAATTTCAAAGTTTCGTCAGTGTAAAGCTTTCTTACTCCTGTGTTGGGTGAATCTCTCAAACGTTGTTTGGCTAACATCTACAGTCGATGCTCCTGGATGATTAAGAATTTTACAATTAATTCTCTTTGCCAAGAATGATAATAGTAATAATAATAATGCATTGGGAGATTTCACCATTGAAATTTAGCCTTGGCAGACGCGATTATCGAAGTCTGTCTGTCTGTTTTATCGATCTGGCCAACTTTAAGGCTAGTTAGTAGACGTGAGATCAAACTACTCATTTCTCACGAAAATAGCACCTGGTATTAGGATAATTCATCTAAATTACAACCGCTTATCGTTCCAGTACAAGAGTAAAAATGCCAATGACGATTAACTACAAATAAGCATAATCAAACTCAATTTAATTATACGATGGAAATTTAGCTTAAACCCAGCGGATTTAAGAAGTACCATTGGCTTCTACCTGGTTCGTGTGTAATCACTAATAGGGAATGAGTGACAATTACCTACCAGTCACAATGTAAATTTGTGTGTGTGATATGCGCAGTTTTTTTTATTTTGTAGGTTTCGCCTTATGTTCTTAAAGAAGTCTAGCCTTTGATGATGATCACTTATTGGGGAACTCTGTTAATTAAAATATTAACCGTCTAATCTCTGTGATGCTAGTATAGTGTTGAAAGCTGTATGCAATCGATGTATCCCTATAAACTATCACCAACTTAACGCTTATAGCTGACCGGTCTAAATCCTTAAAAAATTGGAGCCGTTAATTATTAATGACAACGACAATACCCCAATTATGCATAATTAGGCCAGAGGAAAACAGTGATCTTTAAGACTTCATTCAGCATCGTCTGTTAACCTTTTCGATCAGGCAGTTGATGTATGATATTTAAATACCCCTTATTTCAGGGTTTCAATCTTAGAATCCGATCCCTACGGAGAACTTGATTATTCGAGAATCATCACTCACTGCTCAGTTCATTTCCTTTTTACAATCTAAAAATCGATAACCCAATTTGCAAGAAGTAAGAGCTTTGATAACGCCAAGCTTCAGGAAAAGGCAATTGTTAAGTAAGAAATGTTTGATTCCTTTTCTTGGATTTTTTGAAGAATTGCTCTTTCGGTCATTTGGGAAACTCTGATCAATTCCAGGCCTGGTTGTCTTTTGAAAACGCTGGTAATCGTAGGAGTTAAAACGTTCCCTAGAAGTTTGAGAATAAAAAATGTGTTAGACTGATTGTCTATTATTTAAAGTTGTACTCATCCATTAATAAAATAAGGAGAGTATTTTTAATGTTTTATTTCAGAACTGTACCTGTCCCTCCTTTGAGGCTGAAAAGAGGTTTATTACCGTTGAGGCCAATCAGCCAATTTCAGTAGTCTTGACCTTATCATCAAATGTAAAGGTGCGTTTTTATTTTTGAATAAAATCTTTCTTTTTTTAATCAATTTAAACTTTCTCTACATGGCAGTAATGCTAGCAATTCCATTATTTCTCTCGCAGTGGTCTAACTGCCCACTGGCGTAGCTTAACAAAGACCGTATATATTTATTTATGGGAAATGGCAAGCCTCATGATGATTATCATTAGACCTTTAGTTGACTTCGCGCTTAACACAGAGGGGAGGAACAGACAAAGTCACATAAAGTTGAGGGGGGGGGAGAGGTGGGGACAGAAGGGTGATTCACAGATGTAAAAGAGACAGACAGACACAAGGGTAATGAAAATGGTGAGGTGGGTACTGTGGAAGTGGTCGAATATGACGTACAATGGGATCATGGTCGTTTGACATGAGAAGTGCATGAGTATATGTTGCCCAGTGTATACCACGTGAAGGTAAGTCTATCGCGCACCCCAAACTGTTTATACAACTTGATGCAAGTCATCTTATTATTGCTCTTTGAAGACTGAAACACCGACAGTGGCAGCTGTTTTGTCTCGACTAATCTTCAAGTAGTCAGAATCGGTTCGCGTTCGTATATATCGATAAGGTTGAAATGTGAGACTAGGCGATTGGTGGCTCCTCATTCTGAGAACGAACATAAACTCATCGCCTCTGAGGCTTGTTTATCGGCTTACTATCAGAAGTTAAATCAAACATTGTGCAATGGAAGTATACTTTTACGCCGCACTAATTTACCGCCTTCACAAGAGATGAGGCATTTTGTTTTCAACTACATCCCATCTATAGCCAACTTACTAAAAGTTGACGTTACAATGCGAAGCTCACAAAGTAGGAACCCATTCTAATGGCCTTGTTTTTTTTATTTCCTTAGGCACTGGCCAACCGTTTCTCCTGTTCGGAATCGTGCACTTACCGATGGACAGAGGGTATCTACAATAGCACCGCTTCCACTGTCAATTGCACTTTTCCAGGGGTGAGTGATATATCCTTTGAACTTTTCACTCTGTCGAAACTGCCGCAGCCTAAATTGGTACACATCCTGTTCCGTTTCAAATTTTCCCCCATAAAGGGTAAAAGTATTTGGCCTAATGATTTGTACGAGGAAGTGGTGGTTTATTAACTCCCAATGACAGTAAATTAACCATTTAAATGCAGTGAGCATATTAACTAATTTCCGTTGCACGGTTATATTGAGACAATTCGCTCATTTCTCGAATAATTTCTATGAGTAGGTTTCTTTATTAGCTGCGATTCCACCGTGATGTGAGTATTGTGAGGACTAAATCAGGAGAGGAATTGTCAACGTTGAAGTAAAAAGCTCACAAAGTTATGGCTCTTTGAAGCCTTTGTTAATTTCATCGTAACAGGTGAGAAAATTGGCAGGGATTGTGACGGGATGTCAATGTCGGGATGTAGCCATTGAAAAAAATGAAGGTAGACTTGGAATCGTTCCAATCCAAACGAAACTAGGCACGACAGCTCTCTGACTGGTCTATTGAATATGCGAACTTGCCGACATTACTCACCGCCAAGTTGCATGCTGCTGTGTTGCAATGTGCTCTGCTTTGTGTGTATATTTGGTGGCCATGTTTCAACACGGTCAGCACAGCTTAATTCAGTAAGTCATCAAGGACGTCTGGAGAGCAAATCATTCAGAGCTGAAACAATCTTGTTTGTGAAATTTCAATTTATCAAATCTTAGTTCCCATATTCCCTGCAGTTTTCCATTTTGACACAAGTGGATTCAACGCCTCTCCTTTGTGATTGCATCACTAGGCAGGGTTTCGAACGCTGTAGGTAAGGTATTTTGAGTTAGAAATTTTTAAGTGCGATTGAGCAACAAGTGATGATGGCCACTTTCTCGAGGGGGGGGGGGGGGGAGGGGAAGGAGGCAGAAGGGGGCAGGAAGGGGGTAAGAAATAGATATATTTTCATTGAGATGAAGAGAATTGTATTTTTCCAGAAAGGCATATGGGCACTGGGAGAACTAATCGACCTAGGGAGGAGAACATCTTACTTTTTTTAAAAAAAACCTTTGTTTTCATAATTTTCATCCACTTTCCGAGTCAAATTTGGGTTTGCTTGCATCCATATCTCATTGGGTAGTTGGTTTGCTTAGATGCTTTGTTCATCTCTTTTATTATCATATTATCTAGAAGTGCGTATTAGATCTCGTTCAACCACCAAATACCCTTTTAAACCTTAAGTGTTTTGATATTTATGAGATATCAGGCATTTCTTTTTGGTAAATACCCTAAACTGCCGCCTCACGAGGAGAATGACGGGCGATAATGGCAGATAGAAATGTGACCCAGTCTGCTCTACTTGTCAACCATCAGAGTGATTTCAAATTTACCCATTAGTTGATTAATTTAAAAAAAGGAAATGGGTCATTGATTTTGAGATTATAGACAAGTGTCACGATTGCCTGCAGATATTTATTTACCTGCTTTTGTTTATCGTATTAACGAGATACTGTGTTAGATCACTCTTGTCTTACATATGACTTCAAAACCACTACGGACGGTTGATGCTTGCTCCTTAGGGAAGTGTGGAAGCATCGCTTTCTCCTCCGCAAATATTCAAATGCATTTGGCAGCTTCTGTATTCATCGTTTGCTCGCGAACTCACTTGACGCATTTGCTATGTTAGAGATTGTAATTAACGTTGTTGGCCGATTAAACTTAAAAGGCCAATCGAGTCAGCCTTCCTTGACATTTTAATCGATTTGTCATAGTAGTGACTTCCTGCAATTCTTCTCATTTCTTCTCCCTTGGATTTCGATGGGTTAAAAGACGCCTTTGTGATGCAAGAATTGAACGGACTCTTCAAGGCGTCCATTACGTGTTGAGGGTTATGCCTGGCATTTGCTTTGGCGGATTCGTAGACTTTAATTTAAACCTTATTTTAATGCACAGCTTACCACCCAATTTTTGTGTTCTATTTTGTGTAGATCGCGTTGAAGGGAGTCAACAATCCCGCTGAGTCAACTAAGAAGTACGCGTCCGGGTGGCATCCGAATCTTAAGGACTTGACAGGCGGAGGGTTGCTGAGGTGTGAAATTGCTATCAATTGGCATAATGATCGATCAACCAACCAACCAAAGCTGGGTCATCACCTTGTCAACTCGCAAACTGCTCTCTGTAAGTTTTTAATAGACCTTAATTTGGTTTACCTATCTATAGTGGTCATTGGTTTGCTTAAAGTACTTACATAATTGATGCTGTTTGTGCAAAGGGGTACTAACTTTAAAGTTTTATTGTTGAATGGTGGAGTAGGATTTTCACGAGCTTTCAGGCGACTGCACTACGACTTGACTGTCTTAGCATTTTACCTGAGCATACACTTTTGTGGACAGTCATGACCCCATCTTCGCAAGTGAACGGCTGGATCTGGATGCGCCAATAACTTGACACCTAGTTAGTATCTAGGCGTATCATTTTGACCCCTAGGTATTCCTCAAACTCCGAATTCTAATTACTGCCAACTTCCATTATGATACGCTGGAGAAGACGCTTTCAACCGGCGTGTATGTTGGTGTCTATTTTATTAGAAGAAAGGGGGTTGGACCAAATGGAAGGAAGGGTGTGATGAAAACGGTTGCAGTCTGGCCTTAAATACATCAGTTGATGTGTTGATTCACAGGGTGGGGATTGGTGGGGGGTGGGGGGGGGGGGGGGGGGGGGGGGGGGGGGAGTGTAAAATTCCGTCAGATGTTTCAGCATAACTAGACTGCTGGAGTTTGGGACGCTGCTGACTGAGTTAGTTGAGACTCAGCTACGATTACTATGGCACAAATGACGTAATTTAATCATTTGACAATTAAAATTTTGCAGCAAGGAACGAAACCTTCCCATGCTTTTCAGCTGGGGCTTTGGGTGAAACGCTGAATAGACTTTACACCCTTTGTGAATATTTTCTATTATTAGCTTTATCAGTCATTCATTTTTCCCATAGGCATATGTCTGAATTCGCGATAAATTTAAGGTGGTGTTTTTTTTTCAAATCAATTTAGCTAATTCGTCTAAGCTTCTCCAATTTCTCTAATTAAAGTTTCGTTTTTTTCCTAACCCAAGTCCACCAAGGCATCCTATTAACTCTAGTTGTATCTTTTTCATTGCTTGATTTTCCCCAAACAGTTCCTGTTAATTTAAACAAAAATTACTTGGCGAATCGAAATTAGGTAATTTAATGACATAGAATAGAAACTGCTTTTTTTTCCTATTGCGTTTTGTATCTGCTTTTTTTTTAATTTTTTCGAATTAATTGCTCACTCAATTATTTTTCGATCTGTCAATTCCAATTTTCATTGTGATTAAACAAACAACCCGGTTGCAATTAATTACATCCTTTGTCGTTTTGGAATGTTTTATTAAATCTCCACTTAAAGAAAACGTCGGTGTCAGAAATCGCTTAGTTATTAATTGGTTATGTGGCCCATACGGACTCATACTCAAGCCCCTACACCTCTTGTTTCCTATTTAGGGCTTTTTATCTCTTCTTCATCGACCAACAAAGGTCGCAAAGTCACTCGCCTCCCCTCTCCCCCCCCCTCCCCTCCCCACTTCACTGTTGTCCTAATAGGCTTGGTCGCTATTGGAAACCTTAGATTGCAGAATAGTCGAAAATCAAAATCAAAAACCTACCTGTTGGGAATTTTTTTCCAAAAGTTACATGTTAATCACATTAGGTAAAAATAACTTCCTCATACCTGTTCTACTTTCAGTGGAGGTATACGATTGTTCTCTGATGGCAGTCCATTGTGACAGTTGCTTGGCTCTTCCACGTCGATTTTCCTGTGCATGGTGTTCAACTGTTGCTGGTGGTTCAGCAGGCTGTTTCAGCATTGAACTATGTGCTAAACCTGGTCCTCTGAAATCATGCCCACATCCTCGGCTACTTCAGGTAAACAGCATTTCAATTTCTACTAATTTCGTTTACTTGTAAAAAGTGTGAATGCAGCTTGCATAAGTAGAGGGAAGACGATTTTGAATGGGAAGCGGAGAGATTTGGTCCGTTACGATTCGAGAAAGTTGCTTTTTTCTCTCTTCTCGTTCGGGACGATTATATGCTGTTGTTGTTGTTGATTCGTTCAAAAGATCTTTCCGGCTATCTCGCTTTGGATGTGATATGGACTTTAAACAACCGGATACTCGGTCCTAAAAGTCCTTTTTTTTAATTAATAATGGTTCCATTTTGTCATCAGTTTCGCCCTTCTCGTTTTTTTTTCCTTCAAATCCAAGCTTCCTTTAAATTTTTATTCTGTTTGCATTATCCAAGACTTTGTATAATTACTTATTTTAGTTTTACCTTAATTTTTGCCGTGTGAAATAGTTCTAATGTAAGTTAAAATAAGGAGGACTTTAACTTACAGTCTACAGGCAATGTCTCCGTTGTCGGAGCTTCAACAGCGTGGTTTTCCAGAATACGCGAAATGAAATATGCGTTTGAAATGATTGATTGTATCAATTATGTGCCCCTTATAAACATTAGACTTAATCGCTTTTCGTCTTTTCAATAGGCATATGATATCCTGCTAATTTATCAAATATTCGAATTGTCTGCGAAAATTTGGTTTATTTTGCAGTCAGTCGAATAAAATCCGGTTCTTGTTCACATTTTTATAAGGCATATCAGTAGCTTGGTATTCGAGTTTGTCCCTAGGGGGTTATTTTTGAAACGAGAAGGGGAGGGTTCAAAAGGAGGTGGTATATTGTCTCAGAGGTCAGCAGAAAACAAACACAGGTACAGCTGAAAGTGTCTGTGCGAGTAGTTGGTAAGATTCGTGAATTTATTTATCTCAAATGGCAGGCGTTTTGATAGTCATCATTAGCCCTTTAGCTGACTTCGGGCTTCACAGAGAGGAGAAGGAACATCAAAGTGACGAAAAGTCGAGAAGGGGGGACAGAATAATAATTCATAGATGTGAAGGAGTCATACGGGGAAAAGAAGAGCGATTCACAGATGTAAAAGAGACAGATGACACAAAGGCAGAGAAAAGGGTAAGATGAGTACTGTGAAAACGGTCGAATATGGACAAAGGTGAGGTGAGTACTGTAAAAATAGTCGAATATGATATAGAGTGGGGTGATGGTAGTTTGAAGTCAGAAGTCAACTGCCGATCAATAGACTTTTTGCAAGTCAGAAGTCAACTGCCGATCAATAGACTTTTTTGTCTTTGAAGTCAGAAGTCAACTACCGTACAGTGGGGTCATGGTAGTTTGAAGTGAGAAGTCAACTGTAGGTGAGGTGAGTACTGTGGAAGTAGTCGAATATGACACAGTAAGGTAAGATGATTACTGTGAAAGGGGTCGAATATGACATAAGTGAGGTGATGGTAGTTTGAAGTGAGAAGTCAACTGCCAGGGTGATGGTAGTTTGAAGTGAGAAGTCAACTGCCGAATAGCAGACGTTTTGCCGCATGAGTATACATTGCCCTGAGTGCACCACATAGAGGTAAGTCTATCACATGCCCCTGGGATGTGTGAATAAATATGGTCAATGCAAATCAAGCAACCAAGAGGACGAAGTAGGTAGTTGGAGGCGTTGGCAGGAGTGATCTTCTTGGCGCATTTAAAGAGGTTTATGACTGCATCAGTAAGTTAATTTTATTGGGCGTTCTTTTCTGAACGTTTTCATTGCTTGCTGTTTCAAAGACAATCGATGATCGAAGCGGGAAAATAGTTTTATAAAGAAAATTGAAGTAAATTTGATCACTAAAAACAAAGTTTTGTATTTCTTTCAAGTCACTACTTTCTATATTTTTTTTGGAAAACTGATTTAGGTGATTCCCGAGAACGCAACATTGGATGGTCAAACACAACTCACTATTCGAGGTGTTAATCTTGGTCTCGATACCAAGAACATGACTATTTATGGTGTTTTAACGGATTACAATTTCCCACCAATTTCCTGCACAATTCTCTCCACAGATTTTCTACCATCTCGTCAAGTTACTTGTCGTCTGGAGCCCAAATCTGACATTGTTGAAAAACCATCTAAACTTTCAGCGAGAATCGAACTACAACTAATAAGCAACGATCAAGCGGTAGATACTTTTTTTCTTATCTATCATTTACCTATTATTATTATTATTATCATTATTATTATTAACTATTATTAACAAGAGATTGATTTAGGTGGGAAACAATGGTAAAGTATTCAAATAAAATATGGGAAATAAAAACCCGGACATCAAGAAATCCTCATTCCAATCGTCGTTGTCCTACGTACTGCGAAGCAGCCCTAATCACAACAGTAGAGCTACTTTAAGAGTTTGAACAAAAATAGGTTTGAGCTCTCCTCTCTTACAAATCCATTGATCTTCCCAAAGAATAATATGGAAACGAAAGCTTTTGCCAAAATCATATGATGTAGAATTGCGTTGGAATACTGGTATATTTAACACTCGTATAAAACTATAATATATGGAATAGGG